TGGTTTGTATAAGAATTGTATTAATTACCTCTGTTGATGATGATTTTAGTGGTGATAATGATGATAACAGCAATAGCATATGATACTGGTAATAGTGAATTGATCATTATTGCAGAATATAAGCATCACCATTATGAATATATAATTACAAAGCCACGACATGATGTAAATAACAATAATATGATAACATCAGTAACAACAGCACAATTAATGAACTATCAACACTAACAAACCAGAACAATAATAACATCATTAATAATATCACTAATGTAAACATCAACAACAACAATAAAACAACAAAGATAGTAATAGTAATCACTGTTAATTCCCTTCCTCTCAACCCACGACAGTCGACGAAGAAGTCAACACAGACAACGTGACCCTCCAACTCCACCAGGGGGAGCAGCTCCACTCCCCCTCCCACTGGACGCTCCACATCAACGGCATTCTGGTGGTGCGTGTGGAGTCCCCGCCCGTGCTGGCTGGGGAGTGGCACCACATGCTCCACTCCTGGGACTCCAATCAGGGCGAGTGGAGCATTTTCATGGATGGGCGACTGCTGGGTAGCGGGTACAGCAAGGAGGTGCGTGTTTTTTTTTTTTTTTTTTTTTTTTTTTTTTTTTTTTTTTTTTTTTTTTTTTTGAGGGGTGGGGGTCGTGGCGTTTTATTATTATTATTATTATTTTTTTTTTTGCTTGTTAAATCTGAATACTAAAAAAAAAAAAAGGCAATGCTAAAATCCCATTATACGTTTCATCCTAAGATTTTTCTCCCCTCTTGCATCAGGGTCGAGGTCTGGTGATCCCGGCAGGAGGCGTCGCTGTGTCTGGCCAGCACCAGAATACGGCTCAGTTCGGCGGCATGGACCAAGGCGCGGGCATCGAAGGCTGGTTCACCCTGTTCAACATGGTCTCGCGCCCCCTCTTTAACCCCAAATCCGCGCGCACCCTCGCCACCGTCGCCAGGATCGCCAGCGAGTGCTCTCCCCACGCCGCCTATGGTGACGTCATCAGCTGGACGAGCACCCCGCGCAAGGGATACGGGGGCGTCATGGAGACCCCCGCCGCCCCCGTCTGCGGGTGGTTCTAAAGGGCCTGCTCCTTGTTCATATTTCTGAAGAGAACGATGTATTTTTTTGACATTGCGCCCTATTGAAAATAAAGCAATATAAAGGATATTTTAATTGTTTTCAACTAATGAACATCCATGAAAATTGCCGAGAGATAAAACGTTTGTCCATAGAGAGCTTCTGTCAGTGCACGTTGGATCTTTGAAGGACTTTTAATGGGCACACACACACGCAAACGGCCATGAATAGATAAATAAATGAATGAATATATATTTATAAAGATAAATTAGTAGATAAATAGATACGGATAATGTTGCCTTTGCTAGTATTCGGTCCTTGTTGGATTTCCCTCACCCTTCTCCACCTGGATCACGAGGGGAGACGCCCAGTCCTCCCCTCTCCCACTGAATGCTGACTCCACACTGGGAAGCGATGAAATGGTTGCAGGAGCTCTTCTTACAGAGGAGGCCGCACTTTC